TGAGGCCATCAATTTCATCCATTCTAAAACCAATCCTGTCTCTCTCTTGTGTATGCAGGCAGGTCCTGAAAGATGCCTGCTGGCAGGAAACTTAAAATTACTTCTCTTATATTTACTGTTTCATGAAAGCTATAAAATGCCATAATTGCATCACATTGTTTTGCATTTATTAAAGGCCAACAAAAGCTGAAAAATAAATAAATGAAGCAGCACACTCATTCATTGCTGGTGTTAGGCGAGAGAGAATTCTTAACTCTTCTAACTAAGCTTTATTTCTTTTCACTTAAGGATTCATGGAATGCTTAATCACGTGTTATTAATCACAGGAATTAATTTTTGTTTTCTTTTGAAAATGCTCACTCTTGATCAGAATCTCATTCTTATTACTATTTCCTTAAGAAGTGTGTCACACAGGCAATGGGATGTCAAAGTCTGCTTCCTTGGGAAGCATTGTGATTGGAGAAAGTGCAGGAATGTGGGCACCTGCAAGAATAAACTGTGAACTTTGTCACTCTTTAAGGCCTTAGGTAAGAGGCTTACTCTCTTCCAGCCTCAGCTCCTATATCTGTAAAATGTGACCACTACACCAAACTCTCAGGGGTGAGTATATGTTAGATATTTGTATGTCTTATCTCATCCATGCAGCTTTTGTAATCCCCTCTCTTCATGTCCACTGCCACCACTTATACTGGACTACTGCCTTCTTAATTCTCTTTCTGCTTAATTGTGTATCTATGTGTGTGTGTGTGTGTGTGTGCATGTTAATCAAATATAAAACTCTATTAGTCCAATGTCATTCTTGCTTATTACATTCTTCTTATTGTACTTATTACATGTATTATGCTCAGCCACAGATGTCTTCAGTTCTTCAAACAAGACAAGGTCTTTTTCCCTTCAGGGTATTTGCACAGCTCACCCTGATGGCCAGCAGGTCTGCTCCCCACTTGGCCCTTCTGGAATGCCTGGCCCTTCTCACTGTATTTCAGCTTCAGCTTAAACAATACCCATTTACAACATCACTTTCTCTGACAACACTATATAAAATAGATCTTTGATTTTTTTTGTTTGTTTCCTCCCGACTAGTTTCATTAAGATTTCTTCAGCTCAGTTTTTAAAATTTAAACATATTATTTAGTCATTTTACTCTTTTTCTTTTTTTAAATCATCTCTCTTCCTTATTAAATTTCATTGCAGAGACACATCCTTTTGTCCTCATATTGTTTCCCCAGGCTCATATTACAACATTTAGCATCTTGTAGATGCACAATAAATATAGTTCAATAAGTAAATGAATGATTTTTCAGTTGAAGTGGTGAGCTTGGGCACTGTGTGTCTGTGAGCAGAATGAATGTTTCCATGGTAATAGCTGAGAAAATAATTATTGAAATATATTTCACTGCTGAACAAAATAAATTACAACCATGATTTTTACAATTCAGTGAATATCCATAACATGCCCAGTATTGGTTAGATACCCAGCTAGAAATATAAGGTATTATCTTTTTTGGGGTGGAGGGAACCTGTGATAAGGTAACTTTATATACTGCAGTATTGATAAGATATTAAAAGAGGTAAATCAGAATATTTTTTTTAATCCCAGACATAACTAAAATAAATTACCTATAACTACTGGAAATATTAAAAAAAATAGAACTAACTGGTAATCAGAAAATACCATATTGATAGTTTTATATTTAACATGTATAGTGACTATTTAAAATAATTACAACCAGAAGAGATTCATGTTGATTTTGTATAATATGGAATGTGAACTCCTTCTGTGTGGCATGGGGTGGCTGTTACTCTCTTAAGGAAACAAATTCAAGAACAAGTCATGTTTCACTTCAGCCATGAGAAGAAGGTAGGGTCTGAAATGATGTGCATTTCTAATTTCAAAGTGTACATTTGCCAGTTTCAGCACAGAGATGACATGAACTGGAAATCTATACCTAGAAAAGTGAAAACTGGCTTCCTTCCTTTTTCTTTTCTGTTTTCTCTCCTTCCCTCCCCTCCCCTCCCCTCCCCTCCCCTCCCCTCCCCTCCCCTCCCCTCCCTCCCTCTTCTCTCTCTCTCTCTCTCTCTCTCTCTCTCTCTCTCTCTCTCTCTCTCAATCTTTTCTTTCTCTTTCAATTCTTTGTTTAGATGAGTTCAATCTAGTGGACAAGAGTCAAGTACAGTGCAATTATCTATGCTCGTATTGACATTGGTTTTGATTTTATGAGATGTTTTAAAAATCTCTGAAACTCTCTCGGTCCAGAAGTTTTTACTGGGTATTCTGAATGGCTTGCCCTTGATTATTCTAATATCTCCAGCTGCACTATCTTCGCAGAAGCTGATCCCCTCTGAATTTAGCCTTAAATCCACACCTTCCAGGCAAACCAGATTTCAAAGTCACCTGCACTCCTTACTCTGAGGCTGTGGTAGACATCAATTGAAAAATGTTGAGTGACTATGAATCTAGTGCTAATTCAGTTTTTGACATTTGTTTTTCATGCATGTGTGATCATTTGAGAATGAACATTCCAACTTCCAAGTGAGTCTGTGGTCTGCAGGGTGTTAGAAAAGATGGCTGAAATGTTATCTATGTTGAGCTTATGAGTAAATACTACTTTAGGTAACAAAAACAAATTTTGGGGAAACATTAAATATTTTATATTTATGACATTCAAGTCATTAAAAGTGACCTGAGAATGATGTAATGAATCAAATATGAGATATGACTAGCATGAAAAAATCAGGAAATTCAGGGTTTGAATGACTGCATGTGTATAAACCAGTCAGCCATATGTCTAAAAGTGATGCTGAACAGCCAAAGATCTGAACTCTTTATGAACCTTTAACAAACCTGCCAAACAGATTTGTTTGAGGATAAGCTAGTGCAGTGGACACACACCACATAGACATCTCTTCACAGAAGGAGGCATTTTGGTTTGCAAAAGTCATAAAACAAAGAACTAACTTTTCTTTTCTATTTTGATAATGCATAGGAGAGGTAATGAAAAACACAATTTTTTTTCCCTTTCTTTCTGAGTATAAGAACTGCTGGGGAGTGATTAAAACCTTGGAAATAGTTAAAATCCACCCAGTATAATTCCAGATTCCCGGAGTTCCAAAAGCAGGCCTATCAATGTCACAAAAGAAGCAATTTGAATTTTTGAAATATCAATGCCATTGACTCTCTAAACTTGTGTGATGAGTTTTGCATGAATAATGAAGTTTTATTTAAATTCTAATGCATTTGACAGATACTGTATGATTGAAAGGGACAGGCTTATAAGTCTGTGATGGGCTACATTACCCAAGCAATGATCTGGATCACACAAACATACCCTTGAAACTGACCTGCATATATTTTGTATATTTTGATCAAATTCTCTGCCAACTCAATCCACCAACTTAGTTAAAGACTAGATTTACAATTGGGAGTATGAGAAACACAGTTTATTCTTGTGTTATTATTTATTAATTATATTATTTTCAAACAACTATAAACCTACTTTTGTCCCACGCTGTATATATAAACACACTCCATCCTTAAAGGATCACAAATGAAAATGCTAAAAACATATGCTACAAGGAAATTCCACATGATGGAACTGAGAAACATTTGAACTAAGGTGAGAATATTATAATTTAAAAAAAGAGTATATCTCTGTGAAAGGTGAATGTTTTGATTATAACAACTTTTATGATGTCTAGGTATTCAAAATTATTCAGTTTTATTATTACAATTTTAGCTTTGCTCTTCATGTGTGTGTGTGTTATTTTGGTAAACAATGCTAATAATTCAGATACATGAGAGTGATCTAGGGGAACATGTCCATTGTTTTATAGGACAGTAACATATTGATCTTTTGTTATAAATAAATAAAAGGGTAGAACTACAGTGCTATTCCTTTCTTCTGGTGGAAAAAAATATCTGACTCTGGTCAGATACACTGCTCAGCAAATAGTACGTTGAATTCCTAACACCCACATGAGGCACAAGAATAGTTGGATTAACAACTCCAGCGTCTTGCTGTCAGCTGCTGTTTATTTAAATTAAAATGTCGCCATCCAGAAATAAATTAGGAAGTTAAAAAATGATAAATTTCTTAAACATACATTACTTTGGCACCTTGTTCAAATAACTCTTTTACATTGGTGGTTTTTGGAACTTTACATAGACTATTTCCACTTTGACATTCATAATATAGCAAGTTTTGCTTTTGTTTTGTTCTTGCTTATAACTCTCTTCCCCCAGCCCTCCCCCATAACTTCCCTCCTTCCTTCCTTCCTTCCTTCCTTCCTTCCTCCCTCCCTCCCTCCCTCCCTTCCTTTCCTTCCTCCCTCCCTCCCTCCCTCCCTTCCTTCTTTTCTTACTCCTCCCTTTCTTCCTTTCTTTCCCCTCTTCCTTCCTCCATCCTTCCCTCTCTCCCTGCCTCCCCCCCTTCATTGTCCCTATTTATGGTACATGAAACAGGTAAAAAAAAAGTCCACCAATACACAATTATCAGATGCTACAGCCGTATATCTAAAACCTGTTGTTCATCTTATGTTGAACTAAATTATCTACATTTTTACATTTCAAAGGTCACTTTCTACAACTTCTTACAACTGGTTGTCCTGGGTTCCACTATTATCCCTATGTTGGATATGAAACCAGCACACCCTCCCCAGGAACTTTTCCCTTGCTTCTTGTCATTTGAAGGTCACACTTTTGGCCCTATCACTCAAATACCTCTCCTGCTTTCATCCATATCCTGAGATATTTTAGATAGTTCTTTGGCTCTGGGTTCACATCCCAGCAGGTTGTTCCACTTCCAGAGCCAATTTGGTCATAAGTTGAGAGAATTAACATCTCAGAAAGAAAAATATTTCTTCTCTGTTTCCATTAGGATATTTCTTGCCTATGACTTTGCAGTATGTAAATAATGCAAATGCACACTGTAACACAGGTTAATAAAATATGAGACAGTTGTATACAAACATATCAGCATTAACAACATGGAGATATTTACTTGGCCGGGTTTTCCATTTTCACATAAAAATGCCTCATATTCAGATGCGAATTCAGGGGCGTTGTCATTGACATCCAGCACTTTAATAGCAACAGGTACTCGTGATATCTGACTGTGGTTCCCTATGGGAAGGAAAAAATATAATCAGCATTGAGGGTATTTCATTTTAACGTGCAGCTCAACTTTCTTCTTGAAAGCATCTGTGTAGTTTCAACTCCCCTTAATTAGGGTGCTTCCAATATGGTGGTTATAAAGTCTGACCACTCAATGAGGAAAAAATAGCAACTGCTTAAAAAAAATTATAAATTATTATTCCAAACACCATTTGTCGGAGCTTAGCCCGCTAAAAACCATCTCTGAATTATTAAAAGTTTTCCCTGATGAAGCAAGCTTTATTTTATTGATAAAGTCCACTATATAAAAGGAAAAATGCTTTATGCAACAAGATTTATCTCTTCGCTTATCTTGGGTAGAATACATCCCATTTTTGTGCTATCCCTTGTTTGACTGGCTGTCTACTAAAGATGAACAAAAACCCAGCATAAGACCAGAACCAAATCAATTGTTAAAAGGGTGTCCTTAACAATTTTAAAGATGGGAAATCATATCTTTTATGAATTTTATTCTTTATTAAAAATTGACCTTGGGCCCAGCCAGTGTGGCTCAGTGGATTAAGCATTGTCCCATGCAACAAGAGGTCTCTGGTTTGATTCCCAGTCAGGGCACATGCCCAGGTAGTGGGCTGGACCTTAAATGGTCTTTCATTGATGTTTCTATCTTTCTGTCCCTCTTCCTTCCTCTCTCTCTTAAAAAAAAATCAATAAAAATATTTTTTAAAAATTGACTTTGGATAAGATAAGCCAAAGTCATTTTAATATTGTCATTTTCATAAAGATTTTCATCAGTGTAAACAGATAATAATCTTCTAATCTTTCTAGGTCAATTCCAATAGCAAAGAATTTAATATGTAATCCTTAATCCTCAAACTCTTAAATTTAAAGTTACACACACACACACACACACACACACACGAAAATGTGGTCCATTAATACACTGCTGACTTGGCCATGTGATTATTTTTCATTTGTAATAAATATAGTAGTTTGACTCTGACTGTACAATCTTTTGATCTTTTGTAAATTACACAGAATACGTTGGAGAAGGCCTATTATTTATTTGTGTTTCTATGGCACTGAATATTTATAAGCAAACCAAGAGGGGGAAAGTGTTTGACTTTTGATTGTGAAAACAGACTGGCATTTGTTATATCAAATCTTCTTTTTGATAATTAACTAAATTCAGATCTCTAAAACCTTCAAATACATTAATTTTTTTGTTAAATATGACAGTATTTCTAAAGCACATGCCAAATGATGGACTCATGTTACAAATTTAAACTTGGTTTACTGCTCTGGAAATGCTAAAAGATTTAAATTTGGTTAACTACCATGGCCACTCTCCAATATTCTAATTTGATTAACTAAGGACTGATGAATATTATCCTGTGGAATTCCAACCACCTTAGTAATGGTACATAACCTCAGTTCCTCCAAATCAAGCCAATGGCCTTAAATGTGTCACCTGATATACTCTTTGTCTTTTACTATCTTATGTGTAATAAACTAATTCATTCATTGTTGATTTATTTATTTATTTATTTTTTTAGAGAGAGAGAAATGGAAACATCGATGAGAGAGAACATCGACTGGCTGCCTCCTGCATACCCCCCACTGGGGATCGGGCCCACAACCTAGGCATGTGCCCTGACCGGGAATTGAGTTGATGACCTCTTGGTGCATGGGTTGACGCTCAACCACTGAGCCATATCGGCCTGAACTAAGTCATTCAAAGAGGAAGTATGTACCTCCCAACTTTTGAGAAAAGGGAATTTTTTTTTTTTTTTTAATATAGCACATGACCCTAAGATAAGAAACTTATATTTCATGCTTTATCTACTGGATAAAAGTAGATAAATAAGGTATAATATATTTGAAATAATGTATTATTATATGCTTAAAAATTTATATCTCTTTTCTAGCCTGACCATGGCCTAAAGAGTAGCTACCAAAGAGTAAAAGGTAACACAGTGTTTGTAGTAAACAATGTTTGGAGTTCCATCCTTGCCTCTTGCTCTTTACATGATCCTGAACAATTTATTTGACCTCATTTTATTTCTGAGGAAATTGAAACTCAAGAACTTAACATGTTATTTACAGAATTGTGATAAATATTATATGAGAAAAAATGAAAAGTGCTCTGATTATACTGGGCACATGGTCAAGGGCATTTTAGCCTTTGCCTTTAGTAATTGTCAAAATCACTAGCACCATGCATAATTAGAGTTTACTACATACAGTATGAGATATTTCACATAACCATGTCTCTTTCAATCCTCACTAAAGAGCTATGAAGTAGGCAGTGTAAATCTCATATTTTAGTGGGGACTGATACCAAAGGATTTTGTACTTGTCTTTACCAAGATTATTCAGTTAAAAACTAACTCCAAAATGTAGTTTTGGCCTTCCAAACTTGACCATTTTTTTATATATTATTGATGAAGTTCAAACTTCATCATTGTTTTGTTTGTAAGGTAACTAATCATATCAATTTCCACACACATGCTTATAAGTTTGTTGTAAGTATTTATCTCAGGTTTGATCACTAACTAAAATTTTTATCTAATCGAGTACCAAGCTGTATATATCTAAAGTGTTATACCACCACCAATTTTCTCAGAACCGCACTAATAATCTAAAAGGCATCCTGAGAGACTGCACAATTTAATGTACATATTTTTGCTTATGGTACTATGTCACTCAAGTAGAGTCCCTCTCATTAATGTATTTTATTTTGTAATAATCTGATAGCTATTAATTAGTTATTTATTTATAAAATAGTCATTATTTTCATTCCACATCCTATACAAACACTTGCATCTATAAATAATGACAAAATACTTCTGTTACTTTGTTTTTGTTTTCAGCATCTCTAACCATTCAATTAATAAAAGGCCAATGATCAATATAGACTTAACAAATTATATATACATAATAGACAGTGAATAATAGGTACACAGTTTTAGAAAACTTCCAATACAAGGAAAAGTTATCATAGTCTTTAAATATGATTTTGCACCTTGAGAAATGAAGAACATCCTAATCTCACTGAGTCAAATTTACTGACAATGGTTGTTTGGGCCAAGTTGACTAGATATGATAGTCTTCCTCTTTCTTCTCTCACATGCCAAATGTCCATGTGCACACACACACACACACACACACATGCACACCCCACAGACAAACATGCATGTACAGATTTTATTTTCACTATTCTGAGAAAAAGATAATTATGGCAAGACCCATGTTCTTAATTTTCTCTCTTCTTTTCTCCTAATCTCACAGCTGCAATAAATTGCAGACTGTTAGGTCTTGATGACCAGCAGATGGTAAAATTCAAACATAGAAGGTAGATAAGCTCCATGAATTTTTCATTGGAATAACTGTCAACATTAAAGTAATATATGTTTTTTAATATATATTTTTATATATATATTATATATTTAATATATATATACATATATATTTAATATATATGTTTTTAATATAGTTTATGGGACAAGGTGGTATTTAACTGTCCAGAGGCCCAGATCCCTAGGATAATTCCATTTGATTTTTTTGTTAGATGCAATGTGGGATTGGGAGCTATCATTTAATAATGTTAGAAGATCATGAATGACAGAGAATGTTCTTCCAATTCTGATAGTTACTCTGTCTCAACAACTCTACATGTAAATAATTTGTTTAAATAAAATGGACAATGGGGTTTTTGTAAATTACTACATTTGCTTCTTGGGTTTGGCCTGTCAAAAACTCAGAACCAAATTTGAAATCTACCTCTTATAGCTGTAAAGAATCTTATGGTATATACATTATATATTATGTTTACTCCAAATTCAATGTATTTATTTACATTAACTTAACAATTCCCCAAATTGGCTAAATTAATATCTTCTTATATAGTTGACTCGCATACACTTCTAGGTATTTCCATTTAATTTAGTAATTTACATTCTACCTCATTAATAAAAGAATTAAAACCTAAACTGTCTACCCTAACACTAAAAAGTAATTAGCTAGTGGAGTATGATGAGATAGAATTTCTGTAGCCTTAGTGGTTATGTAAAACATGCCATGCTGGGCAGTTTACCTTAACTAATCACAACATAATCCTTCCTCTTTCTGACTGTGAATTTTTTTGTTATCCTTTAAGGTTCAGCCCAAGCCACATCTCTTCCAAAAAGCTTTTTTAGCACACAATTCAATCTTCTTTCCTTCCTTCCTTCCTTCCTTCCTTCCTTCCTTCCTTCCTTCCTTCCTTCCTTCCTTCCTTCCTTCTTCCTTCTTATTTTTTTAGAATTGTGGCATGGCAGCATGAGGATCTTCATAGACTCCACACCCTACCCTGAAAAACTGGTAAAAATTATTCAAAAATTAAAGTCCCTGGAAAAGGTTCTAAGGGCATACAGAAAAACAAAAACCAGAAAAATATTTGAAGAGAGTCTATAGTATTTGAACCAAGACCTGCTCACTCCATCCATCCTCATGGCTCAGCAAGATGGGAACTAGATTCCAGACTACTGCAACCAAGAAACAGGGCTCCTTCTCTCCTCTCTCCCATGCTGTTAGTTGAGGAGTGTCTACCCAGGAGAGACAAGATGCTAGCATTTCTCATCCTTACCAGATACCTGTCACTAAAGCTAAGTTCTGGGCAACTGCAGGTGGGGGCTTTCTTCTTCTACTAAGTCCCTACTCATTGGTTAAGGTATCACTAAGAACCCCAGGGCTCTGGTCATCTTTGCCATGGCTCACAGAGGGAGGTTTCTGCTGAGAGAGGAGCCTAGAAGACTGAGGCTCCAACAGCAGAAGAGTCAGTTAGAAAGACACTCCAGAGCCTTGGCTCAGCTTTTGTCTGGGGATAGGCTAGAGAAGCATAAAACAGAGGGCTCTGAATTTCTTAAAGAGGAACTAACTTCATTTGCAAAGGAATGTGGAGAAGTTCAAGCCCATCAATGATCTCAAAATAATGGAGGTTGTTGCAAAAGGCAAATGGGAGAAGATTGGTA